GTTTATATAATATGCACGAGGAAGCATTTTGCTCTCCTAATATTTTCCAAAGATTAAAGAAAAAGCGAGAAAGAAAAAGATATTTAATAATCCAACCTATGAACTGGAGCAGTAAAAATTAAATCTGCTTTTACTTTACAAATGACTTAGATTCTCTTATAACTCATATAACAAAATAACTCTATTTTGAAAAAAGAAGAAAAAATCCAAAAATAAAGTACTTGTTAATTGTATTATTTGTCCATAAAACATGTTTTTGCTGAAGCAAGCATTTGTGCTGTTCTTAGCCCTGAATCCTTACTCATATTATAAATATATGGCTCATTTGCTAGCAATCATATCACTAACTAAACATACTCATCAATCTTTCCACAACACCAAATAAACTTTAGGATTGTGTGAAATGACAGCTGTATCTATGTTTGCATGTTTCTACAAAATTAGATGAACTATTATCTCCAAATCACTGTTACTGTGGATATTTAACAGAAATCAGTGGTATGATGTATAGCAGGAGTCTTCAAACTTGGCCCTTTTATGACTTGTAGACTTCAACTCCCAGAATTCCTCAGCAAGCATGCCTGGCTGAGGAATCCTGGGAGTTGAAGTCCACAAGTCATAAAAGGGCCAAGTTTGAAGACCCCTGATGTAAAGCAATGTTTCTCAACCTTGATCACTTTAACTCCCAGAATTCTCCAGGTTGGTCAAGGTTGAGAAACACTGATGTAAAATAAACCATTTAGCTATAGAAGAGTTAAAACAAAACAGGGTGGTGGAAGTTGCTTCTGATTATCACTTATATTAATTTCCAATTATTTAAGATATATTCAGTTTGAGCCATGATGATCAGTGGACTTGCTGGATTGTAAAACTGCATAGCAACGTTTCCCAATTTGGACTTATTTCATGTGTTGGACTTTAACGTCACAATCCAAGTAATAATAGTAAAGTTGGAAGGGACCTTTTCGGACAAATGGCTGTCCAGTCCAATAATAGTAAAGTTGGAAGGGACCATTTCGGACAAATGGCTGTCCAGTCTCTTCTTAAAAACCTCCACTGTTGGAGCATTCACCACTTCTGGAGGCAGGTGGTTCCACTGGTTAATTGTTCTAACTGTCAGGAAGTTTCTCCTTAGTTCTAGGTTGCTTCTCTCCTTGCTTAGTTTCCACCCGTTGCTTCTTGTCCTGCCTTCAGGCGCCTTGGAAAATAGCTTGACACCCTCTTCTTTGTGGCAGCCCCTCAGATATTGGAACACTGCTATCATGTCCCCCCTCGTCCTTCTCTTCATTAAACTAGACATACCCAATTCCAGCAACCGTTCCTTATATGGTCCCTTTAACTTATTAATCTAATGCATCTGATGGTCACCAGATGGGGAAGAGTGTTGCAGCCAATAGCTATAATAAAGGAAAATATATGCAGTATATCAGTGATTTGATTCAATAGCAAGCCATTTTACACATGGCTAATAGGCTTGGCCTATTTTTGATCTTACTGACTTAAACAAATCCTATTTAACAAAGCAATTCTATTTTCCACTACTGTCTCTTTGTCCTTTCATCCCATGCATTTTTATTCCAACTGGATAAGACACTTACATGTCCGTGTTTACAGATATAATCAAACAATTCTCCACCAGACACATATTCCATCACCATGAAAAAATCAGTAGGGGTGCTGATCACCTGATACCTATTGAAAACATACAAGAAAATAATTGCATCTTAAATGTTTTTGCTAGACGAAGTCCTTAAGACCTCTTGTCCAATCTTAAAAGAGTCCTTAACAAAATCATTGGAATATACTTTCGATATAATTGCTTTTCACTTCTGAAGGACAAATTGGTCACTTTTTTTGCAGTGCAAATATAAACTCCTTTGGGACTCTGCTCAATTAAACTGTTTGCTAGATCTTCATTCCCCCTACTCCACCCCTACATTAAACTTCTTCACTCCTCTAAGATCTGTTCAATAAACCTTCTGAGAACTAATATTCTGAACGTTGCTATCAAGAGAAAATTAAGACATTTCAGATTTAAAAGTCATAATATGTTAGTACAAATGTGATGATTACATACCGGGAGTAGCAAAGCTTCCTTCATCTCACTATGAAGGACTGTGAAGTTTTCATTAGCTTGTTAATTTCTAATTCAGTCCCAAAATATGATGCAATAATAATTATTCCTATTTGCAGCCTGTCTGGATCCATAACATAAAGCTGTATATTCACCATATATTCACCATTATAAGAACATAAGATACATCTATATATGTATTTACAATAATGTAGCCATTTTAATAAAGGGGCAAAATGGAAACCAAGAAAGATCTCAACCATGCTTTAAGAGAAAAAAGACTTGTTTTTTTCTTTAGACGTTGCTTCCAGAAGCACACAGCTACTGTGCTAAAATAAACTGAGTACTCCCTTTTTATGCACTATTCAATGAAATCTAAAGACATTTCAATTTTACCCTTGAAATTTTAATACACAAATATATAATCAAATTAATCTGTCTAGACTTAAAAGATCTATTTTTCACTTCATGAATCTAAGATGAACCTCTAAGATACATGCTACTTTGCTTTTATCAAACAACTGTCCAATCATGTGTCCCAGAAAAGTATAAGATATTGCATCAAACTGATAAGTTAAGGTTTTCTTCTGTTTGTTACAGAACAAGAAATATAATGTAGACTGAACCATTTTGACGAATGTTTTATAATGGTCCAGAGTCACTTCAAACTGTGAGATGGGCAGCATATAAATTTAATTAATAATAACAACAACTGATCCGAATTCCAATATATATCTTCATATTGAGTTTTAAAAGGAAGAATGTCCATTTAGTATTATATGGACATGGGAGTAAATTCAGTATAAGATCAATACAATTTACTTCATAATTCCAGTGCTTAATTTATATTATTCTTAAACATATTAAAAATACAGTAAAATACCTGCAATACAGAAATGTGTTTTATGTGTTTTTATATGGCATGCTACAAAGAGAATAAGAATTAGCAAACTTACAGTTTGATAATATGGGGATGCCGGAAAAGTTTTAAGTTTTGGATTTCTCGTTTGATCTTTCCAACAACATCCAAACTACGAATTTTTTGCCTGTTTAAAATTTTCACTGCTACTTTATGTCCAGTGAGCTGGTGCTCTCCAACTAAATAAAAGAAAAAAGTTGAACGTTAATTTCTGTTTACATAAAATGAAGAGTTACTGATTTGTGAGATGCATTACAGGTAGTCCTTGACTTACGACCAAAATTCAGCCCAAAATTTCTGTTGCTATGTGAGGCATTTTAATTGAATTTTGCCCCATTTAACAAACTTTCTTGCCACAGTTGTTAAGTGAATCACCATAGTTATTAAATTAGTAACCTGGTTGTTAAGTGAATCTGGCTTCCCCATTGACTTTGCTTGTCAGAAGGCTGCAAAAGAGGATCACATGACCCTGGGACACTGAACCGTCATAAATATGAATCAGTTGCCAAGCGTCTGAATTCTGATATAAAAAAATGTGAAAAATGATCATAAGTCACTTTTTTCAGGCCTGTTGTAACTTCAAAAGGTCACTAAGTGAGCTGTTGCAGGTTGAGGATTACCTTTACTTAGGTTTTAGCTCTACAACAAAAAAAACCTCCCTTTTTACAACCCTGTAATCCAGTGGTGGCGAATCTATGGCACGCGTGGCAGAGGGGGCACTCGGAGCCCTCTCTCTGGGCACGCACGCCTTGCTCTTTGGCTATGTTTTCGCAGGAAAAAAACAATTCTCAATCCCCTTCCTAGCCAAAACAAGCCTGACACCAGAAATAGACTAACAGATGACCTGAGTGCTGCATGTGTTACTCTCAAACTTACAAAGTATAAGCCAAGGTTAGACAAATTATCAGCATGCATACAACAGCAAAAATCACATTAATTGTTCAAAAGCATGCCAAATGCAAACTTTTACCTTTCAGTAAAAAGTTGTTTGTATCATTGAAAGCTTTGTTATTGTGTTTTTCTTTTAAGACAAACGATGTTAATGTATGAGTTGCTTTTTCTAAATTAAAACCTCAGTATTCAGATTAAATTACCGTGTTGGCACTTTGCGATAAATAAGTGGGTTTTGGGTTGCAGTTTGGGCGCTCGGTCTCTAAAAGGTACCCTTAATTCAGGGTAGAGTTGGGGCGACTACATGCAGCTGAACTGACCGGATGCCCTTCCTGACTCCTAAACAGAGTTTGCAGCAGATTATTTTTTTTTTGCACTCTAGGAGAAAAATACCTTTTGCTACCTAGGAATGAACTCTCAACCTTCTGAATGGGAGGAAAGCATCATCACCACTAGGCCAGCACGCGGCTCGGTATTAACCCTACAATCTCTATTCAGCAACAAATTTCACTGGGTTGTGCAAGAGTACATTTCATGTAAATATTTTAAAGACTGCAATCTTTGCAAGGCTGCGAAATCCTGCCTCCAAAACTCCAAATCCAATTGGAGTTAATGGAACTTAACTGTATTTTTAAACTGATATATATGGAATTGCATTGTGACATAAATATAAAATTGCAGTTTATTCCAAGTCTGTCTATTTATCTTTCTGGAAATTACATTATTAAAAAAAAAAACTAACTGTACGATATAAGTTATGGATAAATTTGTCTAAAATAACTCTTATAACATCGATAAAAGTAATAACAAAAAGATAAATTAACGCTGAGTGGAAATGCTTTTTCTTACATCAAGGGCAGCATAGAATTCATAGGTGTCTGAAAAGCAATATTATGTGATTTTGTTTTGTAGAGGTCATCAAAAGAAGCAACTTTTTTCAGTTCAATTACTAGCAATGATAACGATGTGCGGAATGAAAATAAGTACCAGTTTGCCTCTGTGTATAACTAAGATAAAGGACATCTCACTGGTGACATGACAGTGTTAAGAGGTAAGGCAGAATGCCCCAAAAGATTTGCCACTTCTAAAGCTACTTCAATACTTACTGCTTTGATTCTAATTAAAAAAAAAAAAAGTACCCTGGCAGCAATCTGGTTATTGCCATTCTCAAGATCACTAATAATGAGAGGAGAAAGCTTTCATCATTTCTTCCTTTGTGAATGCTATTTTCAACTAATTATTTGCATTAATTAGGGCAGCCTTGCTTTGCCTATCTTCTTCAATAATATTTTGTATTATAATTCCCCCTATCCCTGACCAAGATTGGTCGTGCCACCTTAACCCGATGGGAGCTGTAATTCAGAATCATCAAGATTTTTGTACAGATGCCTATTTTTGTCCACCTGTCTTTCAACAGGCCATTTGCTGCATAAAATATTTTATAGCATTTCATTATTTAATTGAGTTCCATTAAAAGCTTTCTCTCACCCACTTGCTATTGATTGCAAAACTTTCTTACATCGTGCATTTTGTAAGTTTTGAACCAAAAGGATGGCTTGTTTCAGTTTGTATTTAATATACATAATTAAGAAAGAAAAAAAACCCCTCAAATCTTACAGTATATTTATTTAGAAGTAATTCCTATGTCAGTGCATGGAACTCACTTCCAAGAGTACATAGATTAGACTACAATCATATGTGATTGCCCTGTAGATGTTTATTTGACTTTTCACGAAGAACAATCTTTTCTAAAGATGCATTTAAAATATTTAGATTTTAGAGCAATTTTGTAGGATAAAATAGAAGATACAGAACATGATTCAAGTTGAACTAAATCCAAAGTACTTCACCATAATTCAGCATCAACAGATAGCCCTCGACTTACATCCGTTCATTTAGTGACCATTCAAAGTTACGGCACTGGAAAAAAGTGACTTATGACCATTTTTCACGCTTATGACTGTTGCAGAGTTCCCACGTGAACTCTGATCATGTGATCAAAATTCAGAGGCTTGGCAACTGGTTCATATTTATGACGGTTGCAATATCCCATGGTCGGTCCTATGATCATGTTTTGTGACCTTCTGACAAGCAAATTCAATGGGGAAGACAGATTCACTTAACATCTTTCTTACTAATTGAACAACTGTAGTGATTCACTTAACAGCTGTGACAAGAAAGGTTGTAAAATGGGGCAAAACTCACTTAACAACAGAAATGTTGGGCTCAGTTGTGGTCGTAAGTCGAGGACTGCCTGTATTCATTTCAAAGTCTATCCTGTAGGATTAGAAAGCCAGTTCTGATTAGTCTTTAAGGCTGAAGAGATCCAGGTTCAAGTTCACCTCATCATAGAATCATCCCTGGATGATTTGAAATAGTCACTCTCAGCCTGGTATTCCTTACATAGTTTTGCTACTCTGCCTTGAACTCCTGGAACAATGGAACATAAATATACAAAATACAAAATATATATAAGACTGAAATCCTAGATAATGTAGCTGAGAATCTTATCCACCTCAGGCGATATAATATATTACTGCATTACTATACTCTTGTTAAGCCATTGATTTAAAATTTATTATGGACTATTTCCTTTTTTTTAGAAGCATCATTACTTGACCTTCTTCCTTTTATAATTTATCTATTCCTTATATTTTCAGACTAATAATGATATTATAATAATGATAATGATATTCTAAATGTTGATAAAATAAAGGAGATTTTAGAAAGAGCCGGCAGTCATACTCCACTCCGTATCAAGGATGCAGCTGTAGAGTATTAAATATCTGGGAGTGCAGATAACTTAACAATCTGAACTGGTTTCTCCACACATTATCCTTAGTGAATCGTGCAAACCAGCGTCTGCATTTCTTGCATCGGATGAGGAGAGCACATCTTTCTCTTTCTGTCCTGCCCCTTTTTAAAGAGGCACAATTGGGAGCATTTTAACAAAGTGCACCAATGTCTGGCTCAGTGGCAGCACTGCCTCAGATAGAAAGTCCATACAGAGAATGGTAAGGACAGCCAAGAAGGTCATAGGAAGCTCACTTCCTGGTATTCAAGATGCTGCTTATAAGCGCTATGTGCTTAGAGCTCAAAGCATTGTTAGAGACCCCACACACCCACTTTACGGCCTGTTTCTGTTGCTCCCCTCTGGGAGGAGGTTTTGAAGTATTTCTAGCAGGACTACCTGATTTGCTAATAGCTTTGTTCCCTATGCCATCCATCTGGTAAACTCACAAGGTTCGTTTTTCTCGCCATGCACATGTATACATAACCTGAACTAGACTATTGTTTCTCTGTGTCGTATAATATATGTGGGTATATGCAAAATTCTGTATTTATTTATTTACTTATTTTTGTCATATTTATGTAGTGTATATCGGAGGTGGTGACCTTTTGAGAGCTGTATGCAATGAAATTTCATTTTAATGTATGCCAATTGGTGTACATTCAAAGTGACAATAAAGTTATTATTCTATTCTATTCTATTCTATTCTATTCTATTCTAATTCTATTCTATTCTATTCTATTCTATTCTATTCTATAATACTTCCCTATTGCCACTAGAACTGCACATAATGTGTACCTTATTAGCTTTCAATCCAGTATTTTCAAAATAACTGTTTTAGGGGAAAAATCAGGACAAAATTAGGAATTAATAATAATAATTTTTAAAAGATCTAAGCCAAGATGAAGATTTCAGTAGACATTGCCTATGGTTATATTCCATAAAGTGACAAAGACAAGAGGCACAACACTTGAAGACACATACACATTCAAGTGTACCTATATATTTCCAAGCATAAATTTCCTTCTAGTATCAGATTTATATTAAAAAACCCACTAAGATAATATTTGTGCTGGAATTCAAAGAATCCTTATCATATTCTAAAAGGAAGAAGTAAACAAATAGGTTGCATACAGAATTTAGCACCCCAGCTTAAAAAAAATCATTACATTTTAAAACCAAGTGAACTATGAACTAGAAAATCTGCAATTAAGAGGTAGCCTGACTAAAGGAGAGAGTGGAATGGTAGTTCAGTAGCTGTATAAATTGAGCAAGTCACTATTATTAGCAGAGATAAGGGCAGCCTGAAATTCTTTCCTCAATAAGAGTGTTCTAAAAATAAACTGGCTTGCCATGCTTCAAAATAAAAATTGTTTGGCTTGCTCATTTTGTGTTCCTATGCAAATTCAGAATGAAAAGCAAATTTTGAGATAAATTATGCTTTGTAACATGTAAGATATATAGACCGGGTATCTCTGTGTTCCCTCTACTGGAACGTACTATTCTATGATGCATAAAATCTTTCCAAGAAATTTAAAGCAACTTAAGATATGGTCAAAATGATTACACAGAGGAAACCAGCAATTTACAACATCACCCAGACATTGCTGTGGTGATAAATTGCTAATGCAGACAGGTTACATACCAACATGGCAATGCCTGAGTGATGCTGTAAGTTAGCATTACCGGTACAGAAACACACACAAAAGCCCAGTAAGAACTATAATTTATTTTCCATTTGTAAGAATTCAGGATAAAAAACCCCTATTTGATTACCTAGCCTGTCCTTGAAGTGGCAGAGAGGACCTGCATTAACCAGGCACAAAAAGTTTGCAGTGTCTTGAGAATTAACACAAGTACTGCAGCATTTAATTTTGAACAAAATGATAAATTATGCAATTTTGGAAGTTTTCAAGGCTCTCCAACTATCTTTACTGATTTTGTTTACTCTTAATTTTATATCATTTTGGGGCTTCATCTTTTAAAAAGTGTGTGCTCCTTACTGGCTGGTATTCTAGAAACAGCAGCAATATTGGGCAGGTATCAATAGATATGCTGTACATATTTATGCATAGAAAAGGACATTTAGAAAAAGAAACATATAGCTTTTTATTCTGGAAGTATACCCATTCAGATTTCATTGTTTTTGTTAAAGTGATAAAAAAATAGCAATATCTTTCTTTGTAGATAACTTTATAATTTTTCTTAAACTAAGCTCTCTGGATCCTATCAAACATCTAGTTTTTACACCCAAGCTGTAAATCAGTACAACCACAATCTTCTTCTTGTCTTATGTACTTGTTCTTACTAACAATATGCATATGGGTCACAAAATCCAGAAGACTATTAGATGACAGCGAAAAGTTAAGATTTTGCAGCTATCTAGTAAGTGATTAGGTTTCTGTACCCCAGATACAATAATTTTAATTAAGAATTACTTGTTTGGCACACATTAGCAAGTGATGATGGTCATTTATATAGGTAGACCTTGACTTACGACCACAACTGAGCCCAAAATTTCTGTTGTTAAATGAGACAAACTCATTTCAGTGAGTTTTGCCCCATTTTATGACTTTTCTTGCCACAGTTGTTAAGTGAATCACTGCAGTTGATAGGTTAGTAACCTGGTTGTTAAGAGAACCTGGTTTCCCTATTGACTTTGTTTATCAGAAGGTTGCAAAAGGTGATCACATAACACTGGGACACAGCAAAGGTCATAAATATGAGTCAGTTGCCAAGCATCTGAATCCTGATCACATGATATGGCGATGCTGCAAAGGTCATAACTAAGAAAAACGGTCATAAGTCACATTTTTCAGTGCCACTATAACTTTGAACAGTCACTAAACAAACTGTTGTAAGTCAAGCACTTCCCATATTCTAAAAAATGCTTCTTCTACTAATTTCTGAATATTTGGTTTCTATCCCTGAGAAGAGTCACAAACAGGGGAGAAGGAAGATTAGGGCATTCTTTTCTAGTAGTCAAACCACTAATATTTAGCTAAATAGGTTGGGAAATGATACAACAGAGATGCTAGTTATATACATGTCTGAAATAAGCTATGACTAAAAATAGCAGAAATAACACTTAGTGCAGTTAAATTAACCAAGCATTTGTGGGCATGTTAACTGTAGCTTGAGAGCCATCAAAGGCCTCAGGCTAGAAACTGGAAGACCATGAGTCTTATCTTAGGGCATAAAGCCAGCTGGGCGACCTTGGCCTAGTTGCCTACTCTTAACCGTAAGAGAAAGCAATGGCAAACCAGTTTTAAAAATCTTGTCAAGAAAATTGTGGAAAACTGTCCAGGCA